GCTTTTCAACCGAGCTGCGATGACAAAGTAAATTTTTGGAACCAGGTGAAAAAATAGCTGCTTCATTTTTAGCTCCCGGAGTAGCTAGCGCTCAAGCTTTGGCAACATTGAATAAGTTAGGATGTTGGCTTGCTAAGAAAACTAATGCTACAGCATCCGCTCTCTCTGCGCTGCTCACTGATGTTGACTCTATAAGACATGCAACTTTGCAAAACAGAGCAGCAATCAATTTTCTCCTCTTAGCACAAGGTCATGGGTGTGATGAATTTGAAGGTATGTGCTGCATGAATCTTTCAGACCACTCTAACTCCATTCACAAACAATTAGCATACTTAAAAGACAATATGCGAAAATTACAGGAAACAAGTGATCCTTTCACAAACTGGTTAGCGTCCTTTGGATTATCTCCTTGGTTAATCACTTTGATAGAAAAACTTGCTTTGGTGCTGGCTATAATTTTGCTCGCAATTTTACTTTTACCGTGTATCATGCAGTGTTTGCAAAAAATGATATCGAATACTTTTAATCATAAAATGGCTATGCTTGCTACTAAAGAAAACGGGGGAAGTGTAGAGAGCCTGACAGCAGAATGGCTGCAGGACAAAGGCCACGAAACTGTGTAACTAGTCAAGATCTAGGCCGAAGAACACAGCAGCAACTGTGTAGTCAATGGTTGCTCAAGGACAGGATGTATGCTTGCTGAGATAGCGCAACGGTAACGCTTGAGCAAGAGTGAAACATATTGAAACAAGAAGCGGTCGCGGTTATTTAGAAACCCCTGCGTTAGCACAAACTAACCAATGATTTTACTGTACCCTAGCAGAAATTGTATCTAACACTGAGACTATAAAAATGGCTGTATTTTGCTAAATAAACGAGACTTGCTGACCATGATAGCATGAGGCTTGTCTCCCGCGACTCCGACAGGTGGTGGGTAAAACACAGTCTGTGTGTGTGCCAATACGCTGATCCCCACCACAATCCGCAGGAAGGTCCCAAGGGTACCCAAAGGCCATTCAAAACCTTCAGACCTCTCAAAGGATGCTGCTGTACTTGTCAATGGGGCTGGGGTAGCTGCTGTGCTTGCCGGCTCTCCCACCACCAGCTTCCTTTTTCCTGAGTCCAGCTCTTCCTCCTCTGCCTTGCTGTGAAATGCTGCGTGGTCTCCTGGATCGTCCTGGGGCTCGCCTGGCAGCTTCCAGGGAATGCTCTCGGCCGCCTCGGACTTGTGGTGCAAGAGGTCACCCAGAGGGAGTCTGGCTCAGCCCACGGCTTTGTGTTACAAGGAATAGACAGCCATGGGTGCAGAGATGGGACTGAAGGTACAGAAATGCCAGGTGAGAGATGGGTGGGAAAGCAAGATGGGTGTCAACAGCCTGAAGGGAAAGAGGTGCAGGCATGGGCCAGTGTAGGACAGCCTGCAGCAGAGATGACAGGGTTCTGGCATGGCTGAAAGGCTCAAAAGAACAAAAGGCCTCTGTGCCCTGGGCTATGGCAGTTGCCTCTTTCATCAAGGCCTATGAGGAGAACTTCCATTCTCAGGATTTCAGGCTCTGCTTCTCCAAGGGCTGTGGTCAGGGCTTGGCCTTTCTGCATCATCAAACAAACCAAGGGTTTTCTCACCATCAGACACCTGCACTTTGCCTTTCTCTCCCTGTAATCACAGCCTCCAGTTACTTGCTTTAACGAGTCCCTGGGGAGGCTTTGTCAGTAACAGCCCTCAGTGGGGCCCATGAATGCTGAAGGCACTTGGGGCTTTGTTTCCGACTTGGACTTCTTGAGAGGTTTCCTCAGTCTCCTCTCAGCACCTGAGGTTCAAGGACTCAGCCACCATGGGACTCATTAAACCCTGATGAGCCATGTCTCACCTGTAGTTTTTGTCAAGTCTTCCAGATTGTCTTCCAGGGAACTGGGGAGGTTTCTGGGTGCAGGAAGATTACAAAGGGCATCCGATAGAAGTTATTTGAAAGGGTTACTTGAAAGGAAAATCTACAAAAGATGGGAGGAATGAAGGACGCGGTGTAACAGGCAGGACAGTGGCAGTGCCGTTACAGGGGAAGATCGGCATTCCTTTGGCATCCCCCTTGTGAAAGGTCATTGGATTGGCAGAGGTCTCTTGGGAGGGAGGACAAGGACATGTTGTGCTTACCTTTGATAAGGGTGCCAAGGGCAACCCAGGGGAGCCCAGGCTGTACAAGCTGCCTTTGGTGAGGCGTGTGCCAGCATCAGAGTCCTCTTGGGTGACACCTCTGGGCACCTAAAAGCCGTCCGAAGGGTAACTGCTGCCTGGCCAAGCTGAGAGCCTGCAGTTGTGCGTGAGGAGGCAAAGAGTGGATGTGGTTTCCCTCAGCTTCAGCACGGCTCTTGGCACAGTCTCCCTCAAGGCTGCTGTACGCAAGGGAAGCCATTGCAGCCTGGGTGGGTGGACCAAGAGGAGGGTGAAGCACTTGTGTCAGCAGAGCCAGCTCCAACAGTTGAGGAGCCACCAGGGACATCCCAGGCACCAGGAGATGCAGGTGCCTGCTCCCGGGCTGTCACCTCCGCAGCCACCACGACACCACAAGGAGCAGCATCAGCCAGGGCCCTTCTCCTGCCACAGTACCTGCAGAGCCAGCAATGCCACCATGAGTCAGGAATGTTGGGTGCTGGGCCCCCACGTGAGGGCAGACCAGGTCGACACCACCTCAGGGCTGAGGTGCCTCTAGCCTCTGACAGTGGCAGCAGGAGGCCAGAGAGACGCTGCTGCTGCAGTGCACGGCTCTGCGTGTGCAAGGTGATCTCAGAGAATACTCCAGGAACAAACTCACCAACAAAGTTTTCAAGCTGACAAGCAGGTATTCTTTCTTGCGGCGCCGGGAGACACGGGGGATAGCTCCTCCTGATGTGTGTCCCCCAATTGCCACACAAGCCATACTTTCATAGTCCCTGAGCATACATACATATTCATAAGGCTACATATGGACTACATCATTTTCCAGAAAGTTCCCCCCATGTGTACAGAATTGTGGTGGTGGTCTCTGAGAGTCGTTTACTTCTTCCAACAATCTTCATCACTTCTGGCCACCTTTGAGGTATCATAGAGAAGTCATAGAGGAGTCATAGAGGAGTCTTAGAGAAGTGATAGAGGAGTCTTAGTATCATAGAGTCATAGAATCATAGAATCATAGAATAGTTAGGGTTGGAAAGGACCTGAAGATCATCCAGTTCCAACCCCCCTGCCATGGTCAGGGACACCTCACGCTAAACCATATCACCCATGGCCTCATCCAACCTGGCCTTGTACACTGCCAGGGATGGATCATTCACAGCCTCCCTGGGCAACCTATTTCAGTGCCTCACCACCCTAACAGGAAAGAATTTCCTCCTTAGATCCAATCTAAACTTCCCCTATTTAAGTTTTAACCCGTTACCCCTTGTCATAGAGGAATCATGCAGGAATCATAGAGGAGTCATAGAAGAGTCAACAGCAGTCATACAGGAGTCATAAAGGAGTCATAGAGGAGTCATAGTGAAGTCACAGAGGAGTAATAGAGAAGTCATAATAGAGTCATAGTGGAGTCATATAGGAGACATAGTGTCATATATTCTTAGAGGTGTCATAGAGGAGTCATAGTGGAATCATAGATCAGTCATAGTGGAGTCATAGAGGAGTGTCGTGGTTTAAACCCAGTCAGGCAATTTGTTCACTCACTCCCCCCCCCTTCTTTCCCTCCCCCTGCTCCCGGAGGGATGGAGAGGAGAGTCAAAAAGAATGCAACTCCCACGGGTAGAGTTAAGAACAGTTTAGTAACTAAGGTATAACACAAATGACTACTGCTACCACCAATGATAATAATGATAAAGGAAATAACAAGGGAAGAGAATACAACACCTCACCACCAGCCAACCGATAGCTCCACCTCCAACCCCGCAGTCTCCCAGCCCTTCCGGGTAACTCCCCGTTACATCCTGGGCATGACGTGCTGTGGTATGGAATACCTCTTTGGTCAAGGTGTCCTGTCTCTGCTTCCTCCCGGCTTCCCCTCCTCCCTGGCAGAGCATGAGGCTCACAAAGGCCAAACCAAAACATCATTGTTATCAGCTCTGTTCCCAAGAGTCAAAACAGCACTCAGCTAACTGCTGAACCCAGACAAAGTATGCAGCAAAAAGCACTTTGAAGGATTAAAGTGCAGCAGGGAAATCTTCAAATACCTTTGAACATTCTTTGATGGGTCGTTGATTGGTCTGTGATTATGGAGAAAGAATACCTCTTTGGTCAGTTTGGGTCAGGTGTCCTGTCTCTGCTTCCTCCCGGCTTCCCCTCCTCCCTGGCAGAGCATGAGGCTCACAAAGTCCTTCCAGGACAAAGCACTTCAAAGCACTTTGAAGGATTAAAGTGAAGTTCCTCTCAAACTTCCCTGTTTCCTGCAGCTTTAGGAAACTTTTCTTCCTTCTCTCTCCTCCAAGCCTCCTTGGTCTGCCCTGTGTGTTCTCCTGCATGCTCCCATCTGTCATCGGGATTACCTGGAAGCACTGAAATTCAGCTTAAGTCCATAGATCACATCTCATGGCTGGAAGAGGTACAGCACTTGGTAGAGTGTCCACCACACTGATGAATGATGTCCAAGCTGTAAGAGACCACAAGCGGGCTCTTGAAAAGACAGCTGAGAAAATAGTCCAAGTCCTCAGCAGAAATCTCACAAATGGGTTATTTTAACAGGACTGAGCCTTGTCATCATATTTCCCTTCAAGAAAGAAGCAATTTAGGGTTGCTTAAGCAATGGCAGGTACATAAGAAAGACCGGCACTTTCTTGCCTACAAATATTCAGGAACAAGTTGGACATTTTAGCATGTTTCATCACAAATCATCCTTTGGTGGCTCTTCAGTGAGTATGTGTTTCCCTTATTATGAAATACACTATCAAGAGGCAAATGTATAGCAAATTAATGCCACATTCATAAAGGTGGTCTACAAAACGAATAATAATATATAGAAGTATTATCACAGCTTCTCTCCAACCTCAAAAAGACTCAAAAAACACCAACCCCACTCCCATCACTGTCTAAGTGACAAACCATTTACCACTTTGGCAGGGAAATAATCATTCTCCCCACTGTTCTCTTCAGAGCACTCTTTATCTCCTTGTTTCTCAGGCTGTAGATGAAAAGGTTCAACATTGGGGTCACCGTGGTGTAAAAGACAGAAACTATTTTGTCCCTGCCCAGGTTGTAGCTGGAGCTGGGCCGTAGGTACATGAAGATAAGGGTCCCATAGAAGATGGTGACAACCACTAGGTGGGATTCACAGGTACCAAAAGCTTTGCCCAGCACAGAGCCTGTCCTCATGATGGTGAAGAGGATGTGGCCATAGGAGATGAGGATGACTGATATTGTGGCGACCTCACTGAAGCCCCCAAAAGCAAACAGCAACACTTGGTTGAGGGAAGTATCAGAGCAAGCCAACTTTGAGAGTGGTGGCCCATTGCAGAAGAAGTGGTCAATGACATTGCGGCCACAGAAGAGCACCCTCAATGCAAAGCCTGTGAAGATGGTTGAATTAAAAAGCCCAACTGCATAGGACCCAGCTAAGAGGGAAACACAGACCTTCTTGGTCATGAGGATGGGGTAATGCAAAGGGTTGCAGATGGCAACATAGCGGTCATATGCCATCCCAGCCAGGAGGTAGCACTCTGTGACTGCAAAAGCAGCATAGATATAGAGCTGTAGGAAGCAGCCAGCAAAAGAAATAGTCTTCCTTTCAGACAAGAGGTTCAGCAGCATTTTGAGTGTCACCACGGAGGAGTAGCACAGATCCAAGAAGGACAAGTGGCTGAGGAAGAAGTACATGGGGCTCTGAAGCTGGGAATCAAGCCAGACTGCAGCAATGATGCCAAGGTTTCCTATCACGGTGGTGACATAGATGAGCAGGAAAAGCACAAAGAGGGTAACCTGGAAGTCGAGGCAATCTGTGAACCCCTTGAAAACAAACTCTGTCACCGTAGTCCAGTTTTCCCAGGCCATCAGTGTCCAAGAGGCTCCCAGTTCCCAGGCAGCCGGGTGGTTTCCATGGGCTTGGTTATGATGACTTAATCCCTTGCTTAATTATTAGTGGGGTTTAATCCTGTACTCTGTAGATAATGAAGACATTCTCTAATGAAACACTGCCAGGCACCTTGGCAGGATGCTTAGGTGGTCCACAACCACCTGCCCACGCAGGGAGTCACTGACTACATCTACCACTCAAGCTCTTAGACCAAGCTTTGAATATATGTTCTACCTTCACACACCGATTTCAAAGGAAGTCTGAAGCCAACAAAACAAGTTTTCCCTTGGACATCACCGTGGTCTTCACTATGTTTCTATCTGCCTGCAGTTTCCTCCACATTAAGGGAAGAGCAGCTCAGGTTGACTGTTGTGATAATACACAAAGTAAAGGAATATTAACTTTCGTGCTGCTTTTCAGGTTGAAGATGTCCCAGAGACTCTTTTCATTACCCCAGGTAGCTCAGAGTCTGCATTTGTTGCTCCTTAGTCTAAGTGCTCAGAAATAAAAGCAATATGTTACAGCTCACATGACTGGAATATAGTCATGGAGGGCTATGTCCTTTTCAGGAAAGACAGGCCAGCCAGGAGGGGTGGTGGGGTTGCTCTTTATGTGCGGGAGGAACTACAATGCACCGAGTTCTGTCCGGGGACAGATGACGAGCGAGTTGAGAGTCTGTGGGTGAGAATTAAGGGGCAGGCTGGCAGGGGGGATACTGTTGTAGGTGTCTGTTACAGACCACCAGATCAGGGTGAGGAAGTTGACGAGGCCTTCTACAGGCAGCTGAGAGCGGCCTCACAGTCACAGGCCGTGGTCGTCGTGGGGGATTTTAACTTCCCTGATGTTTGCTGGAAGGACCACTCGGCAACCCAGCCACAGTCCAGGAGGTTCCTCCAGTGTATGGATGATAACTTCCTCCTGCAAATGGTGGATGAGCCGACCAGGAGAGGAGCGCTGCTGGATCTCATCCTCACTAACAAGGAGGATCTGGTTAAAGCAGTAAGGGTTGAGGGCTGCCTTGGTTGCAGCGACCACGAGATGGTGAAGTTCAGGATCTTGTGTGGTAGGACTAGTAGAATACCAAGTAGAATTGCAACCCTGGACTTTAGCAGGGCAAACTTTGGCCTTTTCAAGCAATTGCTAGGGGAAATCCCATGGGCAAGGCTGCTTGAAGGTAAAGGGGCCCAAGATAGTTGGTTGACATTCAAGGACTGCTTTTTCCGTGCTCAAGATCGGAGCATCCCGACACGTAGGAACTCAAGGAAGAGGGCCAAGAGACCTGCGTGGCTAAATAGGGAATTGCTGGGTATGCTCAAGTGGAAGAGGAGAGTTTACAGGTCATGGAAGGAGGGGCTGGCCACTTGTGAGGAATATAAGGCTGCTGCTAGAGGATGTAGGAAGGCAGCTAGGAGGACTAAGGCATCCTTAGAATTAAACCTGGCAAGAAGGGTCAAGGACAGCAAAAAGAGCTTTTTCAAATACATGGCAGACAAAACTAACACCAGAGGCAATGTAGTCCAGTTCTGGGCCCCTCAGTTCAAGAAGGACAGGGAGCTGCTGGAGAGAGTCCAGCGCAGGGCAACTAAGATGATTAAGGGAGTGGAGCATCTCCCTTATGAGGAAAGACTGAGGGAGCTGGGTCTCTATAGTTTGGAGAAGAGGAGACTGAGGGGTGACCTTATAAGTGTCTATAAATATATAAAGGGGGAGTGTCACGAGGATGGAGCCAGGCTCTACTCAGTGGCAAACAATGATAGGACAAGGGGTAATGGGTACAAACTGGAACACAAGAGGTTCCACTTAAACTTGAGAAGAAACTTCTTCTCAGTGAGGGTGACGGAACACTGGACCAGGCTGCCCAGGGAGGTTGTGGAGTCTCCTTCCCTGGAGACATTCAAAACCCGCCTGGACACATTCCTGTGTAACATTATCTAGGTGTTCCTGCTCCGGCAGGGGGATTGGACTAGATGATCTTTTGAGGTCCCTTCCAATCTCTAGCATACTGTGATACTGTGATGTTGGTTTTCATTAAAAACAACTGATTAATAACAAGGTTAGTGGCTACTTTGGGGGCTAAACTGCATCTCAATAACTGCTCTCATCTCATAAGAATAAATACATAGAAGAGACAGACGGGCATATGAATTTATCTTTCCTTCTCTTCCAGCTTCACTGGTGACTTGTTAAAAATGTGCTTTCCCCTTTAATTTCTATCATTCAAATTACATTTTAAGCAAACAGCAAATACTTCCAAGCAACTGATTTCATGTCAGATTAAGGTCAGGAAGTAAAACTTCCTTTTAGAAAGGATTTATAACATAACCATGTGTCTCAAACACAGACATTTGAGAGGAGTTTAAAACTAGTTCCACCACCATCCCCCAAAACAGTACCTGAGATGCCACTTCTGGTTTCTTGTTGAAGACCCAGCCTGTTTCAGGCTGAGGTATTATTGTACCTACCTCTTATTCCCTTCTCCAAGGAAATCATTCAAAGACAGAACCTGCACCTTGTCATTGCTGAGGGGAACTAGAAAGGCAACAATACAGACAAATAGAGCATATCCTATTGAAATTGTCTATGCTGATCTCTTAAATAGGATAAAATACATCCCCAAAAAGGATTGTGTCAGGAGAGGGGGTAAATACATAAGATATTAGACATTTCTTCTGTACATGTTTATATTTGTCCCAGTATAACCATTACCACTAAGCAAGGAGATGTTTGCAAAGAGTTTTTACTAAGACTGGAAACCCACTACCAAACCACAGTGCTACCCACATACTCAAAACCATTATTCTACAATTGTATTTGGAAAATGGAGGTGATACTAATGACTAAAGAGTAACACTCCAGTATAAAGTTCAATTGATCACTCTAATTCCCTCACTGAATAGACTATCTCCTATTGTGCCCATGCAGGGATATGGTCTGGATGGAGAGGGACTGCCAGAGCAGTGAACAGTGGCTGGGCTGTTGGGTGCAGAGGGTAATGAGTTCTACTCTGCAGGAACATGGGGAGTGCCACAGGGGTTTGTCTCCTTAATCTATCTAAATTGAACCGAAGGAGAACACCACTGTGTGCAGGGACCATCCCATGGTACCTGAGCAGGAAAAGTAGAGCAGGAACAGAGACCTAGGCCAAGTTCAGCCAAGATTGCAGAGCATCAAGCGAGTTGGAGACTATGAAGCACGTCCAAAACCAAGCCAACACAGGTCAAGTCAATCCCCTGGTCAGGTTTAGGTCCAGCAATTGCTAGGGAAGGCCACAAGCAACCTCAGATCACCATCAACAGATTCCATAGATGTGCACAACTAATGCTAAACTGGAAACCAGAATTTCTCAAGTATAGTGCAACCACCTTGGGCTGAGCTTAAATAGAGATGAGGGGTAAATGGGTGGAGGGTAGGGATGAAGCCCCAGCTGAGGCTGCTCAGGTGGATAAAGGCCTATTAGCTCACCCTGGGACAATTCATCACTGCTTCAAATGCCCATTTCTCACCCTTCAATACAGTGGAAGCCCTAAAGCACCAGCTCAGGTGTTGGACATTCAGGCACTACATGTGGATAATCCTATTGGGGCTGGAAAACTGGGGGCGCAAGTGTGCACAGAGGGACAGCAGCAGCTCCAGAGAAGGAGTCACTTGTTCTTCGTGTTGTATTTAGGGACCCTCTGCAAGATCAGGAATGTCTCTAAATCCCTCCTCATTCTGTTGCCAAGGTGAGACCAAAACCTTTGCATAGTCCACAAGTATGTCAGAAGCATCCTATAAGCTGCTCAGCACTGCTGCTGTGTAGCTGTGCTCTGGCTTGGCTCATCCACTCCATGTCTCTCAGATGCCCAAGTACCACAATGCCTTTCAGAGGTGATTTCACACCCCTTGCTTTTTGCTTCTCTTTGTTTTCCTCAGGTAAGTCATGAGCAGCCCTGGAGGCTTCCTCCCCGGAGATCACATGCAACTGTATTTACAGCCCCAGCACCACAAGCTGGGCTCTTGGAGTCTGAAGGAGTTCACCTCTCTTCACATCGGGTGCTTAACAGAGCTGATGCTGGCACGTAGATGTTCTCTGCTGCTTTGGGGATTAACCCTTGGCTCCCATCACTCGGTGGCAGACGGAAGTCACAGGAGGTAACATCAACACAAAGCAGAGCCTCACCTTCATTGAAGCAGTGGTATTTCTTCTTCATGTCCTCAGGTCCTCTTTGGGAAAGCTGTGTCAGAAAACAGCCTTATCAATGTGGGTTCTTTTTATAATAAGAGGGAGCAATGTCTGATGCAGGTTGTGTTTCTTTTACAGAGGCTGCTAAAGCAAGAAGCACTGATTTATTCAAGAGTTAAATGAAGTTGAATCTTATTTTGTTATAAAGAAATGCAACATTGCAGATTGTCAGCAGAATATAGTCACTGACTAATATAGTCAGTAACAAATCAGCACATTGTAACATCCGCTCCTTTTTAATGCAAGCAACTTAATGCTCATAGGTTTAGGATGCTTCGTTGTGCTGGAGCTCAGAGAGGTATAAATCATGTGAATTTTATCTGTTATGAATAAAGTCAAATAGTTTGATAAATGTGATTTGGTGACTGGAATGATAACTAAAAGGCAAGGGAAAATGCGTGCAGTTAATCCACGTGTAAACTGGATTTCACTGGGACCGGGACTTTCTATCCCCCTGGTTTACATGCGCTACTATGAGGTTTTCAGGTGTCTTCTGACCAAATTAACTCTGAAAACTGAAAAGTGAAAGTGAAGAAAGATCTGATTCTTTTCTTTAATCTGAAAACACACGCGCTTGAATAAATCCATAGTTTTAAGAGTCCTAGCATTGAAAATACTATTTGTTCCTAGAATGCGGTCCCAGTTCAAGATACCTCAACTGTATAACATAAAATATATATAATTTGGGTTAGAAAATATAGTGGAATATATAGCAATGTAGCAGTTAAACTGGTCATTGTTTGAATTACAATATGGTCCA